TGGCAGCTACCTGTTGGAAAGAGGAGAGGGAAGCCAGCAGCACTGCAGGAATAGGGGTACACAGGGGGGCCTGGGCATCAGGGGGAAATGTATGGTGCACAGGGAGGGTGATGGGTGGGGGGGAGGTGCAATTACTGTAATAAATCACCTGTATGGCTCTCTCTGCAGCAGCTGAAAGTCAGCAGGAGAGAAGGAGAAGGAGCCAGGTTTCAGCTGCTGCAGAGAGAGCCATGCAGGGGATCGGTTACAGTAATTGCCCCCTCCCACTGTGCTGATCACCCTCCCTACCCACATCCAAATCACCTATCTGCATGAGCCCCCCTGCTGGCCTGGGCCCCATACAGGAAGACTGGTGGTACCCCCTTATCCACAGCCATGCCCAAGACCTACCCCAGCTCTAAATCAGGACATAGCCGTATCCCTAATTATAACCCTAACCCAGGATATGCTGTAGGTCTACCTTTAAAAATAGACAAAACCTTGACCCAAGACCCACCTCTGTCCATAGTCCAAACTGAAGATATACCCTTAGCCATAATCACATTCCATACCCTAGCTTAAAACCTACTGCTGTCCCTCATCATAGCCCAAACCCAAACCAAAGACCAAATCATAGCCCAAACCTTACATAACCATACCCCTAATTATAGCCTAAACCCTAATTCAAGATCTACCCCTAGCTGTTGTCTTAGAACAAACCCACACCCAAGATCTACCCCCGGCCCTAATCATAGTCCAATCCCAAGACATAAACCCAAATCTAATTCTAGCCCAAACCCTAACCCAGAACATACCCTTAGCCCTAATCATAGCTCAAACTCTAATCCAAGACCTACTCCTAGCCCTAATCCTAGCCCAACTCCTAATCCAAGACCCAATCCTAGGCTTAATCATACGCTACAAACTTAAAATATACCTCTAGCCCTAATTAATGTCTTAACCATACCCAAGATGTGCCTCTAGTCCTAGGCATAGCCCAAACTCAAGGTATAACCCTACCTCTTACTGTAACCCTATCCCAGGACATACTGTATTTAGCTCTAACTATATAACAAATCTTGACCCAAGACATACCCCTAATCATAGCCAAGGACATACTCATACCCCTAATGATAGTCCATACTTTAATGAAAGACCTATCTCAAGCCCTAATCATAACCCAACTAAACACATATTCCTAGTCTTAATCATACCCAACATTCAGCATACCTAAAGCCTTAATCAAAGCCAAAACAAAAGGCATACTCCTAGCCCTAATTATAGCCCATGCCCTAAGTCAGGACCTATCCCTAGCCCTAATCATAACCAAAGCCTTTTCAAGACATACTCCTAATTATAATCCAAACAAAAGACCTTATATCCCAAGACCTACCCTGAATCATAGCTCAAACTCGCAACATACCTCTAGCCCAAATCATAGCCCAAACCCAAGACATACCCTTGCCCCAATTATAGCCCAAATCCTAACCCAAAATCTACCCCTAATTATAGCCTGATCCTGAAGACCGACCCCAATCACAGTTCAAAACCAAAGACCTACTTCTAGCTCTAATCATAGTCTGAATGCAGACGAATGACTTTCACCTATCCCCAGTCACAGTCCAAACCAAGGCCTACCCTGTAACGGAACCGACCCAGACTGCACTTGAGTACTTAGAATACCGCTTCCCCATCCGAACACCGACAACAGACACCACAGCCGACCATACAAGACTAGATGACACCAGTCTTGAAGTAAACCAGGAGGTAGACTAGTTTATTTGAACACAGATACGAGATATATACACTCAGGGGACAATACCCCCTCCCTGCATAATGACACAGGGTGGGGCAATCTACATTTAGTAACAAGAGACCCACAGATATTCAAACTTCACACCAGCAGACAGTCCCATCAGGAGGGAGGGCTGCTGGAGACACACCCCACTAAGCTAATACACATAAACACATACATCCCATAATAGTTTGCTCCCAAGCCAGACACACAATAGAACAATGGGATGCAACCACATGGCATTAAACAATCAACAACCCCCCACCCCACCTATCTCCTAGACATGTCTACACAGTCTGCGACAAAGCCCACACAATATTACCCTGTACCCCTAACACGCACAAGGTGACTTAAACATAAGAGCGATATGGGGAGCTGAGACAGGGGTCTCCCCACCTTTCCAAAGTGAGCTGGGTTCCGTGGGCCCCCCACCCAAAGTGACTCCTGTTACATACCCTTAGCCCTAATTACATGAAAATCCAAACCATAGACCTACCACTAGGTTCACAAATTACTAGTGCAGTGCAACTCTCTAAATTAATAATTGTTAGAAACTATAAATACAGCTGTAAAAAACAAATACAAGTAATAAACTAAAAAGTCCAAAAATAATCCCCTCAGTGATGTGTATCACTTCCCTGAATATCTTCTTCTTCAGTAATATTCAGTGATCTTCCACCACACCAGGGGAAAAACCTGCTCACCTCAAGAAAAGAAATTATGCGCTCATCTGGGTGTGCTCAACTCCTCAGTCGCGGTGACATATCTTCTTATCTCCTCTCGCCTTCCACTCACTCGGACATCAGGCCAAAATTGATCTCCTCTCCACTAGCAAGATAGTGGTGGCATGGTAACACAGTACTGGCTTCTCCTTCCTAGACACGTTGCGCCCCCTCTCAGGGCTTCCTCAGTAGGTGGACAGCTGTTATAACACAAACACAACCTTTTTGTAGCCACACATTTCTCCAACTTGTGTCCAATTGGTCATGGTGACGCAGGAAATGAGTCATCATCTTTGGGCGGATGTGCCAATACTGGCCTCTACTCCTCCCGTGGACTGCACACACACCACCGGAAGTACACCTGCAGCCATCTTAAGTGAGGGTAATAGGAGATTCCCACCAAACACATGCACCAGTAGTGCATCATCATCCCTGGGTGGAAGTGACAACACTGGCCTCTACGCCACCCGTGGACTGCACATGCACCACCGGAAGTACACCGGTGGCCATCTTAATAGATGGTAATAGGAGATTCCCACCAAACACAGGAACCAGTAATGTGTCATCATCCCTGGGTGGAAGTGCCAATACTGGCCTCTACTCCACCCGTGGACTGCACACGCACCACTGGAAGTACACTGGTGGCCATCATAAGCGAGGATAATAGGAGATTCCCACCAAACACAGGCCCCGGTAGTGCAGCATCATCCCTGGGTGGAAGTGCCAATACTGGCCTTTTCTCCACCCACAGACTGCACACACATCACCGGAAATACACCGGCGGCCATCTTAAGTGAGGGTAATAGGAGATTCCCACCAAACCCAGGCACCGGTAGTGCATCATCATCCCTGGGTGGAAGTGCCAATACTGGCCTCTTCTCCACCTACAAATTGCACACACACCATCAGAAGTACACCAGCGGCCATCTTAAGTGAGGGTAATAAGAGATTCCCACCAAACACAGGCACCGGTAGTGCGTCATCATCCCTGGGTGGAAGTGCCAATACTGGCCTCTTCTCCGCTCACGGACTGCACACACACCACCGGAAGTATACCGGCGGCCATCTTAAGTGTGGGTAACAGGAGATCCCCACCAAATTCTGGCAGAAAAACACTGTCCCCCATCCTCCACACAGACCAGACGCCTACACTTTAACCCCACATCTACTCAGGCTACCTCCCTAAAACCCATACCCTAGCCTAAAACCTACTGCTACTCCTCATCATAGCTCAAACCCAAACCAAAGACCAAATCATAGCCCTGATCAAAGCCCAAACCTTACATAACCTTAACCCCTAGGTTCAGTTGCTGCTTTCATATAAGTAAATAATAATATTCATTATGGTCAGAGATAAAAACATTTATTTGATATTTTCCTCAGCTGAGTAAATATGAAATATTGTATATGAATTTTGTAATTTTTCATTTACAGCAGGCAGGAGAAACCCTCATTTTCTTTTTTGCTGTCGTGAAAAAGAGCTGCTGTTTATAGAACTCAATAGCTCCAGCTGCAGTTTATACACATACTGTAGTGTAAATTAGTCAGAGCGGTGACTCTTCCTCCTTCCTGTCAGTTCAGAATCTCCATAAGAAATTTCAATCAAAGACAGCTTCAAAGCAAACTACCGTATTTTTCACTCCATAAGATGCACTTTCCCACCCCCAAAAAATAGAGAAAAATGTCTGTGCGTCTTATGGAGCGAATATGGAGTGGCCAGCCTGGTGTTCCCGCCGCCGTCGTGTCAGAATGCCGGGCCTGGCGCTTGGCTCTACTGTGCAGAAGAACCTGCTCCTCGGTCCTACCTGTTCCTCGGTTCCGCAGAGTCCTGCTTTCACTGGCTGTCTTCTTTCCCCGGCCCCGTCATCTCTCAGTGTGGGCACCCGCTGTGACAGCTTACGGCTTCACAGCTGGGTGCCCATTGCGTATGTGCAAGAAGCGCTGCGCTTTGTGAATGGCCCCGTAGTCTTCTGGGACCTGTCACATGTCCCACAAGACTACGGGGAGGACAACTCCTTGGAAGTGGGAACGGGTACCTGTCACGTACCTGATTGGAGATTGAAATGACGAGGTCGGCCTCACTTGTGTCACTAGCCCTGACCCCACTGGAAGTGGAACAGAGGGTGTCTAGGGACCGGGGGGACAAGAGTGCCAGCAGATGTTGTTTGCAGCTCTTGCAGCTGGAGTCCTTAAAAGACTGATGGACCACCATTTCAGGAAAAGTAGCGATATGCAGAGCTGCTATGGTAGATCGCCAGAGGTGCACCAGAGCAAGGCAGGAAGCTGGGATGGGAGACAGGAGCAATGTCATAGGAATAGCCGGGGTCATCAATGGGCGGACAGTGAGGTACCAAATCATAAGCAAGCCAAAGTTAGGAGCAGAGCCGAGGTCAGGAACAAGTATCAAGCAGGATAGTAATCAAGAGCCAGGTCAGGAACAAGCCGGGTCAGCAACAAAGAAATCACACAGGAACGAGCAGGACACGGGGCACAGCTGAAGACCAGTCAGCACTCAGCACAGGCAGAGGCACCTTTTAAATAGTCCGTCTGGCGCCAATCTTTACCGTGCGTGTGCGCGATCGTGCTTTTCTGTGCACATGCGCACGTCTATTCGCCAGCCGTCTCCGAATTCCCGTCTCAGTAATTCCCTTACAGTACCTGTCAAATTCGGGTACCCGCCCTCCCCCGCTTCCCAAAGGTCTGCAGTCTCTGGTCATCTCCTTTACTTACTATGTCTGCAGTCTCTGGTCATCTCCTGTGCTATGTCTGTAGTCTCTGGTCATCTCCTGTACTATGTCTGCAGTCTCTGGTCATCTCCTGTACTATGTCCGCAGTCTCTGGTCATTCCCTGTACTATGTCCGCAGTCTCTGGTCATCTCCTGTACTGTGTCTGCAGTCTCTGGTCATCTCCTGTACTATGTCTGTAGTCTCTGGTCATCTTCTGTACTATGTCTGCAGTCTCTGGTCATCTCCTGTACTGTGTCTGCAGTCTCTGGTCATCTCCTGTACTATGTCTGTAGTCTCTGGTCATCTTCTGTACTATGTCTGCAGTCTCTGGTCATCTCCTGTGCTATGTCTGTAGTCACTGGACATCTCCTGTACTATGTCTGCAGTCTCTGGTCATTCCCTGTACTATGTCCGCAGTCTCTGGTCATCTCCTGTACTGTGTCTGCAGTCTCTGGTCATCTCCTGTACTATGTCCATCTCCTGTACTATGTCCGCAGTCTCTGGTCATCTCCTGTACTGTTTCCGCAGTCTCTGGTCATCTCCTGTACTATGTCCGCAGTCTCTGGTCATCTCCTGTACTATGTTCGCAGTCTCTGGTCATCTCCTGTAGTACATCCGCAGTCTCTGGTCATCTCCTGTACTATGTCCACAGTCTCTGGTCATCTCCTGTACTGTGTCCGCAGTCTCTGGTCATCTCCTGTACTATGTCCGCAGTCTCTGGTCATCTCCTGTACTATGTCCGCAGTCTCTGGTCATCTCCTGTACTATGTCTGCAGTCTCTGGTCATCTCCTGTACTATGTCTGCAGTCTCTGGTCATCACCATTGAGTTTGTTTGGTGAAATGTCTCATATGACAAAATCAGCACAACGATAAATCGCTAAGGAAAGCATTTTACACACAATACAAATACAATAACTGAGCAGAAAATGGGAAGAGGTGATAGGAGTGGCCAATTTCTCAGGACCACCACCCTTTCCAAGGTCCCAGTTGGCGGCATGCACTGCAGGGGCAGAAAGTGCTCACTGATATAAAGAGTGATGCGTCACTGCTCCTCCAAAGAATGATGTACAGCACAGTCACTCCTGCAAAGAGCTATGCACCGCTGCAAGGCCTCCTTCCACATGAGCCTGTATACAGAGACAGGGACATGTTACAGGAATTGGCAGCTGGCTCATGGTAGGCAGTAGTAGAGGAAGCACTTGTAAAGGGCAGTACAGTGACTAAATGGTTAGCACTTCCGCCTGTCAGTACTATGGTCGTTGGTTCCCAACCACGGCACCACCTGCCTGAAGTTTGCATGTTCTCCCTGTGCCTGCGTGGGTTTCCTCCGTGTACTCTGGTTTCCTCCCACTCTCCAAAGACATGCTGGTAGGTGAATTGGATCCTGTCTAAATTGTCCCTAGTATGTTAGTTAGGGTCCTTAGATTGTACACCCCTTGAGGGTTAGGGACTGATGTGAATGTACAATATATATGTAAAGCGCTGTGTAAATTGACAGCGATATATAAGGACCTGAAATAAATAAATACCTGAGAAGCCAGCAATGGGAAAATATTTTTGATTGTCACACTATGATATTGATTGCAGCTCTGCGGACATGTTTCTGATTGTCACACTATGATATTGAATGCGGCTCTGCGGACATGTTTCTGATTGTCTCACTATGATATTGATTGCGGCTCTGCGGACATGTTTCTGATTGTCTCACTATGATATTGATTGCGGCTCTGCGGACATGTTTCTGATTGTCTCACTATGATATTGATTGCGGCTCTGCGGACATGTTTCTGGTGGTCTCACTATGATATTGATTGCGGCTCCGCGGACATGTTTCTGGTTGTCTAATTATGATATTGATTGCGGCTCTGCGGACATGTTTCTGATTGTCTCACTATGATATTGATTGCGGCTCTGCGGACATGTTTCTGGTTGTCTAATTATGATATTGATTGCGGCTCTGCGGACATGTTTCTGATTGTCTCACTATGATATTGATTGCGGCTCTGCGGACATGTTTCTGGTGGTCTCACTATGATATTGATTGCGGCTCCGCGGACATGTTTCTGGTTGTCTCACTATGATATTGATTGCGGCTCTGCGGACATGTTTCTGATTGTCTCACTATGATATTGATTGCGGCTCTGCGGACATGTTTCTGATTGTCTCACTATGATATTGATTGCGGCTCTGCGGACATGTTTCTGATTGTCTCACTATGATATTGATTGCGGCTCTGCGGACATGTTTCTGGTGGTCTCACTATGATATTGATTGCGGCTCCGCGGACATGTTTCTGGTTGTCTAATTATGATATTGATTGCGGCTCTGCGGACATGTTTCTGATTGTCTCACTATGATATTGATTGCGGCTCTGCGGACATGTTTCTGGTTGTCTAATTATGATATTGATTGCGGCTCTGCGGACATGTTTCTGATTGTCTCACTATGATATTGATTGCGGCTCTGCGGACATGTTTCTGGTGGTCTCACTATGATATTGATTGCGGCTCCGCGGACATGTTTCTGGTTGTCTCACTATGATATTGATTGCGGCTCTATGGACATGTTTCTGATTGTCTCACTATGATATTGATTGCGGCTCTGCGGACATGTTTCTGATTGTCTCACTATAATATTGATTGCGGCTCTGCGGACATGTTTCTGGTGGTCTCACTATGATATTGATTGCGGCTCTGCGGACATGTTTCTGGTGGTCTCACTATAATATTGATTGCGGCTCTGCGGACATGTTTCTGGTGTTCTCACTATGATATTGATTGCGGCTCTGTGGACATGTTCCTGGTTGTCTCACTATGATATTGATTGCGGCTCTGTGGACATGTTTCTGGTGTTCTCACTATGATATTGATTGCGGCTCTGTGGACATGTTTCTGGTTGTCTCACTACGATATTGATTGCGGCTCTATGGACATGTTTCTGATTGTCTCACTATGATATTGATTGCGGCTCTGCGGACATGTTTCTGGTGGTTTCACTATGATATTAATTGCAGCTCTGCGGACATGTTTCTGGTTGTCTCACTATGATATTGATTGTGGCTCTGCGGACATGTTTCTGATTGTCTCACTATGATATTGATTGCGGCTCTGCGGACATGTTTCTGCTTGATTTTCTGTGATATGATTGTGGCTTTGCGGACATGTTTCTGCTGCCTCACTAGGATACTGATTATGACTCTGGTTGACTTTCTGTGGTATGATGATGACTCTGTGGACATGTTTCTGATTGTCCCACTATGATATTGATTGCGGCTCTGCGTACATGTTTCTGGTGGTCTCACTATGATATTGATTGCTGCTCTGCGGACATGTTTCTGTTTGTCTCACTATGATATTGATTGCTGCTCTGCGGACATGTTTCTGGTTGTCTCACTATGATATTGATTGCTGCTCTGCGGACATGTTTCTGGTTGTCTCACTATGATATTGATTGTGGCTCTGCGGACATGTTTCTGATTGTCTCACTATGATATTGATTGTGGCTCTGCGGACATGTTTCTGATTGTCTCACTATGATATTGATTCCGACTCCGCGGACATGTTTCTGGTTGTCTCACTATGATATTGATTGCGGCTCTATGGACATGTTTCTGATTGTCTCACTATGATATTGATTGCGGCTCTATGGACATGTTTCTGATTGTCTCACTATGATATTGATTGCGGCTCTGCGGACATGTTTCTGATTGTCTCACTATAATATTGATTGCGGCTCTGCGGACATGTTTCTGGTGGTCTCACTATGATATTGATTGCGGCTCTGCGGACATGTTTCTGGTGGTCTCACTATAATATTGATTGCGGCTCTGCGGACATGTTTCTGGTGTTTCTCACTATGATATTGATTGCGGCTCTGTGGACATGTTCCTGGTTGTCTCACTATGATATTGATTGCGGCTCTGTGGACATGTTTCTGGTGTTCTCACTATGATATTGATTGCGGCTCTGCGGACATGTTTCTGGTTGTCTCACTACGATATTGATTGCGGCTCTATGGACATGTTTCTGATTGTCTCACTATGATATTGATTGCGGCTCTGCGGACATGTTTCTGGTGGTTTCACTATGATATTAATTGCGGCTCTGCGGACATGTTTCTGGTTGTCTCACTATGATATTGATTGTGGCTCTGCGGACATGTTTCTGATTGTCTCACTATGATATTGATTGCGGCTCTGCGGACATGTTTCTGCTTGATTTTCTGTGATATGATTGTGGCTTTGCGGACATGTTTCTGCTGCCTCACTAGGATACTGATTATGACTCTGGTTGACTTTCTGTGGTATAATGATGACTCTGTGGACATGTTTCTGATTGTCCCACTATGATATTGATTGCGGCTCTGCGTACATGTTTCTGGTGGATCTTACTATGATATTGATTGCTGCTCTGCGGACATGTTTCTGGTTGTCTCACTATGATATTGATTGCTGCTCTGCGGGACATGTTTCTGGTTGTCTCACTATGATATTGATTGTGGCTCTGCGGACATGTTTCTGATTGTCTCACTATGATATTGATTGCTGCTCTGCGGACATGTTTCTGGTTGTCTCACTATGATATTGATTGCTGCTCTGCGGACATGTTTCTGATTGTCTCACTATGATATTGATTGCGGCTCTGCGCGGACATGTTCCTGCTTGATTTTCTGTGATATGATTGTGGCTTTGCGGACATGTTTTCTGCTGCCTCACTAGGATACTGATTATGACTCTGGTTGACTTTCTGTGGTATGATGATGACTCTGTGGACATGTTTCTGATTGTCCCACTATGATATTGATTGCGGCTCTGCGGACATGTTTCTGGTTGTCTCACTATGATATTGACTGAGACTCTGCGGACATGTTTCTGATTGTCTCACTATGATATTGATTGCGGCTCTGTGGACATGTTTCTGGTTGTCTAATTATGATATTGACTGAGGCTCTGTGGGCATGTTTCTGGTTGTCACACTATGATATTGATTGCTGCTCTGCGGACATGTTTCTGGTTGTCTCACTATGATATTGATTGCGGCTCTGCAGACATGTTCCTGCTTGATTTTCTGTGATATGATTGTGGCTTTGCGGACATGTTTCTGCTGCCTCACTAGGATACTGATTATGACTCTGGTTGACTTTCTGTGGTATGATGATGATGATGTTTCTGATTGTCTCACTATGATATTGATTGTGGCTCTGCGGACATGTTTCTGGTTGTCTCACTATGATATTGACTGAGGCTCTGCGTATATGTTTCTGGATGTCTCACTATGATACTAATTACGTTTCTGGAGACATGTTTCTGCTTGATTTTCTATTATATGATTGCGGCTTTGCAAAAATTTTTTGGCTGACTCACTAGGATACTGATTATGACTCTGGTTGACTTTCTGTGGTATGATGATGACTCTGTGGACATGTTTCTGATTGTCCCACTATGATATTGATTGCGGCTCTGCGGACATGTTTCTGATTGTCTCACTATGATATTGATTGCGGCTCTGTGGACATGTTTCTGGTTGTCTCACTATGATATTGA